TTTTTTTGTTTTCTTTTTTTTTCTTCTAAACCCTCCTCGTCTTCGTCCCTTTTTCCCCACTCATGATGCAAACATGATGATGTTTCCTCGGAACTTCCGGGCGAAATAAAGACCGACTTAATTTCTTTAGAGACTCTTCGTGTTATTTAGTAAGAAATATATTAAATTCTTGCTCTATCGATTTCCCTCCTTTTTTTGCCTTCAGACTTTGAGCCAGCCACGTTGATTCCCATCAACCAGCCACACTGAGAAAATAATACAGTTGAAGTATAATTGAAAAGGTAAACCATAAAAAATAAAAAATAAAACCTGTAAAAGAAGCCGCGGAATTAAGTCCCGGAAGTTGAGTTTTAATTGGCCGGATGGATCCAGGAATTATAACACGGAGCCCCATGGAGATTGTGAGTGGTCATGCAACCGAGCTCATGTTCAGGTCGATCTATTACTGCTTCCGAACTTTTCTGATCAGTCAGCCCATCCGTCAGCGGAAGAATTTCAACCATGAACGCCGTCTGGAAAAAAAAAACAAAAAAAAAAAAATCCCCAAGGGACCCAGTGGTCCCCGACTAGATGCGGTCATTATCTGCCAAGGCTTGTCCAGCTTCATACATCCATTGAACAGTACGGAATATATTTAGTGGAATGCCGAACAAGTGCCGTTGATGCCTTTGAGCTCCAGGACATGATTCAAGTTTGCTGCCGGCAATTTTCTGTCCTGGTGCAAATCTTCCTGGCAGCTTTGCTGGTCCATCCACAGCAGATACCAGCCAATGATTGTTATTTCTTTTTTTTTCTTCTTTTTTTTTCCCCCCCTTCAACCCCCTGGAAAGTCTGGCCTATTGAACGCCCTCCCGTTCGTTCTGCACCACGCGGAGAACTCCGCCCAACCTTCTTTCTCGGGGAATGTTGTGGATAATTGTAATTGTAACACTTCTTGTTGAACCGTGGCATCTAAAACAAAACCATCCATACTGCCGTTCGCCGCGTCGGCAAATATGAAACTGACCCTTCGTTGAAACCAGTACTATCTAGGCAGGATTTGCCGACGTCCCGTTCCAGTAGTGGAGACGGAAAAGAGTATTAGTTCGACCGACTGACTGGAGGCGTATACCGTATAATATGGTTCGGTGGAGTAGAAGTAGCCTTTTTGCGCACCACGTTCCATCAACCTGGCTCATAGCAGTCAGTCTTAATGAACAGGGTTGGACATCTGACAGCCGTTGTGGTCCTGGTTTAGGAGGCATGCCACACGATCTGTACCGCCAGTAGAAGTGAGACATTTGGTGAACTGTTTTTGCATTCTTCCTGTGCATGTGGTTCGTTGTAAAAGGACCAGCTGCATTTGATCGCCAGGGCGATCGCCGTCTGCTGCAGGTCAATTCCATGGGACTATCAGGAATCATTCTGTCATCAAGTGGACAATATACTAGGCAACCACATGAGGTCCAGTTGTGTTTGATTTAGTAACCATGATTAATAGTAACTCATCATATTTTTTTTTTTTTTTTTTTTTTTTTTTTTTGGTCTTGTCGTGGAAGTTTCAACGGACGGGAGAGAAGGGAAACTTGACCCGCCGAGGAAGCAAATCGGTCGAACCGGATAGACATCCGTTCCTGATCGACATCGAGGGTTTTGACAGCTTTTCTCTTTCGCTCATGCTCAACCTAACCCAATACCAAACCCGCAGATCAAGTTTCGTGCCGGGGACCAGTCCAAATTGGTAGGGTCCCCCTTAAGCCTCGTATTCGTTCTATCCGTTATTATGTACAGGAAATAAGAATTCTCTGCATAATTCGTACTACGTACTACGTACTCCGTTATCCACTTTTGTTTCGCAGTCGACAAAATTGCTGACTGGAAGATTGTGGTGGTTACCAGCTTATCTTCTTCTCAGTGTGTCGGTTCTTGTTTCTCTTTCTGTACCTCTTACCAGTCATTGTAAAGGCTCTTGGCTAAAGCTCGTGACGAGGATTTGGACCCAAGTGGGACAATATCTTCACAATTGGAACCCGCAATGGGAAAACAAAATGAAGAAAAAGAAACGACAGGACCCAAACTATTCAAGTCCCAACAAATTAAGTGGCCTGGCTATCTAACCAAGGATTGAAAATGGGGACCGTACGGAGTATGGGCCATGGCAAAAGGAGGTAAATTGCTCCTGTGGGTAGACTGTTCATCACTTGGGAAATGAGCACCATGTCCAGGAGAGGATGGAAACAATCCGGACAACTACCACTCACATTCCTTGGGAGCCAAACTAAGCGCTCAACTATCTGTTGTCTTGGCCTATGGTGGCTCCCCGGATGGGGAAAGGGATCCATCACCCACATGGAAGAAATGAATTGTTCGGGGACCATTCCAGGTCCGTGAGCGATGGACCCAAAGACCTACTCCTACTGGGACATCCATACCTCTCTCTCTCTCTATGCACATTGACGTTTGCACATATCCTATCGATGCGACGGTCAAAAGATACCGTACTTCTGTTCCGCTTTTGTTTTAGGGGCCCACGGTCTCGGATTGCGGCCCTCTCCAAACTCTAAGTGACTACCTTACTGTCTAGTCTGCTTAATGGCACGCCTGGCCGGCTGAGAATGAGGTTTATCTCGAGTTGCCTCGATCCACGGGTGATGATTGTATGACGCACAAATACCTACGTGGCCGGCGATCTGAAACAACTTGCCCACTGAGTCCAGCTTTGGGGAAGACAACCTCAGTCAGCACAGTCGAAGCATAGTTCAACTAGGTAACACCGAGAAGTTTGCTGGAGGAGGAATTGACTCAACTGAGATCACTAGCTGGCTAGGGGGGAAAGCAGGGGAGGAAGGACGGGGAGAAGAGGGGATGAGCATCAGATCAGCTCCCACATCGTCGTCCGCGTGACGATCCAATGGCCCCCATATCATAAATCCGGTGGCTTGCCGTTGGGTCATTCCGATGGCGTTCTGAAACCAAGCTGAGTTAGATTAATGCCTGTCCCTCCTCCATCTCTGTCCTATCCGAGAAGCTCTCGGAAATGGCGACTAACCCGCTAGGAGGATACCAGCCGACCCATCGACCACTTAGTGTTGGCCTACTATCTAGGGCAGATCCTCATAGGATGTGCTCTGCCTTAGCTTAGATGCAGGCCAACCGTTGAGGCCATATCATAGGCCTTGACCCTCCCCGAATCCGACCCTTACTCCGTAATTGCCTCGGGTTAGGTGGCGGAGTCTCTCTAATCCACTATGATGATTAACTCCGAGAAGTGCGGGATACTAAAGGATTAGATCACTCTTTTGGACGAGTCAGACTGTCAGAATCGTTCAATAGTACATCCCACTCGCCTCGTATGTAAAAGAAAGTCGATACGTTGAATCCGTGGGAGTCATGGACAATATGGTATGGTATGACCAGGACCAGCTAAGGGCATACTCATAGGGCCCGATGTGCATAGCCATAGCCATCCTAATAGAGTATAACGTGATCTGCAGTCCTTCCATGACAATGGAGTCTCAGAAAGCCATCCTCCGCAAGGCCAGTCACACGCTGGTTCAGCGTCGGACAGATCTTACTCCGTAGCTTGGGTACTATCTGGAACTAACGGCCAGAGTTAGCATATACAAAATGATCTTCAGTTCTTAGCGCATTTTTTCAATTTTCGCGCACTATCTTCAAAAAAATACCTCTTTTCAAACACCTGTACTCAGCCAGTTCTTTATTAAATTAAATTTGGATTGAAGTTTAATAATCAGTAATATTCAAAGTAGAGAAAAAAAATTCTATCTTAAAAATACTGAAGATAGTTTTAAACAAAATCAATTAAGTATATTTATATATGCAGTGTTTTTGATATAAAGTTTATATTTCTAAACTATTAATTTTTATTCATATAGTATATTTTTGTAGCTTATTCTCTTTTCTATGTCTCAATATAAAGGTGATATAATAAAATTTGGTTGAGTTATAAGTATTTGAAAATGGCTAGTTTTTAAAGATGCTGCGCGAAAATTGAAAAAATACACCAAGAACTGAAGATTTAGGAATAGTACGTAGATTGAACTTTGAATTCGAAAAAACATTTCTACGAGTCATGTCCATAAATTCATTTGGGTCTCCTTTTGGGTTAATAGTTAAAAGTTCAATCACAGAACCTGGAAATCTTTTCCATTAGCACATCCAGAAAACACGTAGTTACGTATGCACTGCAAACTAAGCAGTATTCAGTAACCATACCGCCAGATCGTATCATTCAATGCTTATTTGAAACCATAAATTATTGTCCCGAAGGGTATAGGCGTGACCAGTCATCTTAGACCAGACCGCTTCATATTCTTTTTTTGTTTTGTTTTTTTCACCCTCTTGTGGCGTGGCAGCCTCGTTCATGCTTCCGTCGAACCACGTTTCTTTTCCTTTCTTATCTCATCGATTGTAAGCTTTACACCTTCAATCACAACCCCCCATTCAATAGCATGGACCTTTTCTTCAAAATGTTCAAGATTTTCATCCTCTCCCTTGACGAATGGAATCTCTCGTACAAGTATAGGAGTACCCATATCAACCTCAGAGATCACCTTGTGGATCATCACCCCTGTCTTGTCAATCTTTCCTTCTAGCCAAGCGCTATGGGCCCGCTCAATTGCATGCTGCAAGGGGTTGCAAGTTAACCATATCATTCGAGGGGAGTACCCACAACTTTATAGATGTAGTCAAGAAGAATGCAACAAGGGGAAGATAGAGAACATACTGCTCCATTAAAGGCCCCCGGCAACGCAGGGTGAAGGTTAATAATCTTAATCTTGGCCGTCTCCAGTGGCTCCAAGAACCTCGGAGACAGCACATGCATGAATCCCAAGCAAGCTACCATGTCTGGACTGTCCGCAAGGACCAACCTCGCCAGCTCCGCATCATATTCCTCCCGAGCCGCCTGGATACCCTCTGGGGTCGCAGGGTGCTGCTTCTTATATTTCACAAGGTTGTGGTATTGTGTAGGAATGTTCACACGTCGGGCACGCTCGAGCCCATATGCGTCTTTGCGGTTCGATAAGACTCGGACAATGTTCACCGGAAGTTCCCCCGCGACTGTCTTGTCGATTACGGCCTGGAGGTTTGAGCCATTGCCTGATATCAACACAGTGAGTCGAATCGGTGCATCCATTCTGGATATAATGTGTAGGTGTGGCTGGAGAAACGGAGAATAGGGAGTGTCGTCGATAACCGATTGGCAACAATTCCTGCTAGTCTATTTCTACCCAACTCAATTGATTCAGGTAAATTAGATAATGAAAGTGAAGTAGCCAAACGGACGGAAGCTCGCAGGCGATGAAAAAGAGGCACGACGAAGCGAGGATAAGCTTAAATCTTCCTCTCAACGACTGTGAGGATCGATAGATTGATAAATAGATATAGTTGGTGGGGTTGAGGAAAGATGTGGGCTGAGTCAGCAGCTTGTTGAAGAGGGGCAAAAAAAACATGTCCAGTCGACGCATGCGGGGCATCTGGAATACTGTTGGGTACTGTATATTACGTAGTATGTATACTCGGTAGTCTATCTTGAAATTGAGAAAGAAAGAAAAAAAGGGGGGGAAAGATGTCTAAATTATAGGAACTTAGACAACAGTATCTATGCTTTAGTAATTCGTATAACAATGTGTATATATGCATAGTCGCAGAGTTGTAAGGAAAGTAGTCTTCGATGTATTTTTTCGACCTCATATTATTACCTGCCTATCTGATATGGCGTCTTAAGTCTATACGATACTACATAGTATACGCTAACTAGTCAACTTCAGTTTTACTGCCTGTACTGCGTCCTATGTACTTTAGTACTGCTACAACAATATCATATTCATCAGGTATCTCTTTCTCTACCTCACCACACAGTACGTTACAAATACTGAATTATTGTCTTATAGTAGAGATTTCAATATTTCATACCTATGTCACATAGGTACAGGAGACATAGATGATGAACCTAGTGTTCTGGCAAAGTTATGAGACAATTCTGCGCCATTCTATCCGTCGTCTCACCATCCCGCCTTTATTGATCCCAATATCAACAGCCAAAATTAAAAACAGAGGAAAAGTAGGCTCCAGGAAAGAGTATGCAGAAAAGAGAAAAAGAAAATGCTGCAGTGGATATCCTCGATGAAAACAAAAGAAGAAGTTCGTTAAGCTATGGAATATGCGCTTCATGCAAATCTTTGGTGGTAACCAATGCAAATGGGTGGCAGAGGGACAGGTGGTCTTTAATGTGAGCAGAAAGCTGGCAATTAAGCAGATGACGTATTCTCTGGAGTACGATCTGCATTCGATGTCTCGGCTACGCCTTGACCTCTACATAGAGGGCAAGAGTTGCGACCAGTTGTCAACCACTATAGAATATGTTAGCTCCACGGAAAAAGCTCAGTGTAGATGTGTCAACGAACCTGATCTATACAATCTCGGTGGAATATATGCGCGCATTTGGTCAATTGCCGGAGCTCTTCAGCAGCTTCGTAGTCGCTAAGACAGATCAGGCACCGATCCCCGTTGGGAATCTGAATGGCGCCAGCACCATCCAGAGCTTCCGCAACAAGAGAGCCACTATATTCCACAAGACGGTATACTCCACCAGCCGAGGTGAGATCCTCTTGAGTAGCAACCGGAGGTTTCACCGGACCAAGGAGAGACGAGAGTAGAATCATGTCTTCATACGTTGGGTTCTAGTCTTAAGTTAGCTTACGTTCTATTGGCAAAGTGAAGAAAATTGTCATCCTTACATCGGTGAAGAGGCTCGGTGTCGCAAACGCGGGGTGATTTTCCGAAAGGTTTGTTCCCACAACATAGATCAACCAACTCCTACCTGCAGGAGAGGGAGGGTTGTCCGGTTCGACAACACCATTACGCCTGATCGCACCAGCGCCTAGGTCACGATGGCGGACATACTCAGAATCACTACGACGTCGCTGACGAGATATGTTGAATGGAATGTTACCATCAGCAGGTTCAACTGGAGGCTGCATAATCCGGTGTTCGTCCAGTTGTGGCAAAATGCTTGGGGACATCACCGATGCAGAAGATGGTCTTCGGCTTGGAGTTGAAGCACCCGACGACACGGCGGAAAGCCCGGGTTCAGCAGGCGTCGATGGTGGAGGGTGAGGGCCAGGAGGGCTTTCAGAGATGATCGAAGGTAGAGATGAAAGGGGTCCACGACTCCCGGCATCAGATAGCCTCCTTGACGGACTTTGATGTCCGAGTTGCAGGGGAATATCTTCATTATTAGGCGTAGTACTAGGACCTCCAGTTTGATGACGACTAGGCATGAATCTTGGTCGTCCTTCAGCGCGTGATGTGAGATTAGGACCGTCGTCTGGAGTCCGTGGTAGACTTCCTGGTGACAAGAACGGTAGACGGAGTAACGTATCCAAGCCAGGTCCAGAGCCTGGATTTTGCTGGTCATTGCCGGGACTATTACCTGACGGGACAGATCTTACTCCCACAACAACCAGGGTAACGGTACGCCCTTCAGGTCCATCCGTGGGGTTCTCAACATCCGTCCCATCTGCGCCACTCTCTGGAGCATTCGTGGTTGTTGCAGATCGATTTGAAGCTACTGAAGGCCTTGCGCCATCTGAATTTGCGAAGCGGAACACCCGCAAGAAATTGACTGGAGTTGGCGTTCCATTGTCCCCAGAAGCGGTTTGACTATCGGCTGCTGTCTGCGCGGAAGTGGCGTGTTGTAAACTCTGTATAAAATTTTCTAGAGAGTTGTCGAGACCTTCGTTGCCAAGGGCTTGAATATTAGGCATTACAGGGCCAGTTGTGCCAGAAAGTTGGGCAGCAATGGCAGCAGCCGCTAGTTGGAGGACACGCGACAGCGGTGTCTGCTCCTCCCGCCGCAAAACTCTAGATGGGCGTGCTCGCAATAGATTTGGGAAGTGTCGCAAGCCAGTTGGGCTTTGCCCAGACTGCAAAGGCATGGGAGAGGTGGGGCGGGTGTTTCCTATGGCAGGTTCCACGGAATCAAGTTCATGGGGCTCATCAAAGTCCATCGGACTAGGCATTGGTCCTGGTTGAGGGAGGAATGTGCCTGGCATGTCGCTAGGTATGGGTCCTATCGAATGGCGTATACCTCCAGGGTTCTGATCAGACATGCTTGTAGACGGTTGGCCGAACATCTGTGTGATCGGACCCGAAAGTGAATTTCTAACACGATGCAACCGAGTGCTTCGACGCCAAGAACTTCTAGTTGTATCTGGTGTATGATCTGAGGTAGGGTCGAAAAAAGTAGGAGAGTGGGGAGCATCCGAAAGTAGTCCCGGATCACTGCGTGGAATGAAATAAGGACCTCGGGCTGAGCGCCGTCGAGAGATACCCCTTGAGCTAAGCGAGCTAAACGGGCTAAAACGACTGCTGGTATGAGCGACTTCTGATCTTGGTACCGACCTCGATACGATCCCGTGTCGATGAGCGTGGCCCTCGGCAGGTGTCTCTTCTTCGCTGCTAAGAAGACCACGAATTACTGAGTTTGGCAGAATTCTGGACCCCAGCCTTGACATCGTGGATTGCCTTCTTGCTGCCATGCGGGCAAAGATCGCAGACCGATACTCCCGCTGACTCGGTTCATATTGTGGTCCATTTTCTTCTTGAATGCTTCCCATGTGCCCTATACCACTCGATTGCTCCTCGGCCGGTCGCCATGTCTCCCACCCTGAGCTGGCTTGATCCGGTAGCATATCGCCATTATTCGCCGCTCGTTGGGGCCTAAACACCCCGTTTTGCTCCAAATTGTGATCGTTATTCATGTCCCTATCTCTATCCCTATCGCGATTACCACGGTGTATGAATGACAGACGGTTTGAAGGATTGTTGTGGCGTTGATGCGTAGAGGAGGATTGTCCCATAGTAACAAAATGAATGGTCAGGACGTGGCGCTGGGATTTATAAACCGCCTAGTATTGCCATCGGCATTTGATGACTAAAGGGACAATTAAACATTAGTAAGACAAACAATACCGCATTCACTGCTGAGGGGAAACATGCTCGAGAGATAGGAAGATAGTGAGATAGGAGCAGGGATAGATGGAAGGTCAAATGATGGTTAAGGCAAACATGTTCGCGGAATCCTCGGGAGCACCTGAGCACCGTGAACTTCCGATGCTGGGAGTTCCAACTACTACACCATATTGGTTTAACAGAGCCACATACCACATACCATTGGACAGTTTAAGCAACAAACATGGGAATATAGTATGGAGCCGTGAAAGGACTGGCGATACAAAGTCGGTTATGAAAAGTAGGCCGTCAGGGAGAGAATTGAAGGATAGAAACGGTAGGTACGTTGTAGTGCCAGGTGGTCGGCAACCCAGAGAACTACTACTAGAACGTAATACTATATGCGGTATCGTGAATCTAAAACGAGAGAGACGGCAGGAACGAGGGAAGGGGAAGGATGATGGTGGTAGTGGTGGTTGTAGTGGTAGTGATGCTGATGAAGATGATGATGACAATTGATAAGGACCGCACCTAAATTAGGTGTGGTGGTCTTCAGGTCAGGGCGCTTTGGTTAAGGCGGGTCGAGGCTAGCCCGTGACTTTCTTGGTTGAAGGATTGGCATCCTAATACTCAGTTGTGTTACAGTACAGTACATGCTTGCCGGGAACGTACATACCACATTGTTCCTTGACCGAAAGCGCTTCATTCGCACAGGACAGAAACAGGCTATCTCTTGGACCTATTCGTTAATGAATTCATGATAGCAAGTATAGTCAAGGTAAGATAAAGCTTAAATCTGTCATTACCATTTAATATACGAATCCTCCAGTACGTACATACATACAGTTTTCCAATAACACCTCTAAAGTAGTTTGTACTAGTACTAGTACGAATAAGGTATCAACTACTAATTATCACGGGCAAGGCTGGCAACTTCCGTCCATACTGAACCACCTCCAGCGGAGGACAGTTATGCCTAGTGAAGTAAGCGGTGAATATTGATTACTAACTGTCTTATACTGCTTAGTACTAAATAGTACTAGTACCTTCTGCACCCTATGGAGCCTGAGGTTTAGCCCTCTTGATGCCTTTGTGCCTCAGGATACGATATTCCAAACTCTACTACGGAACCGTGTTCCTGCTTTGTGATACAGCTAGAGCTACGATTGATGTCAATCAAACATATGAATAATTAATTTTCGACTTATGACCAATGCATTCATGGATAGTAGCTCAAACATCCAGGCCATAGATTACTCATCTTTTAACCGCTGATGGCATCTGTTCCCTCAGCCTCTGCCTTCTCATTGCCAATTCCATCATGGCAACAACCTCAAAGTGCGCGCATTGCCCGGTATGATACGAGGAAGCGTAGGAAATGCTATGATGACTGGGGCACCGAGGAAGATGCTTTTGAAGGCGAAACAACTGATGCTGGATCTGAAATCGCACCTTCTGGAGCATCATTAATTCTGTCACCAGAAGAAGCACATCAATATCGCATAGCCGGTTTATCTTTCGACAGAGAACTACCAGGGGGCCATTTCCCACATGGTCCCGCCAAAGATGAAACCGCTAGCAACCGGGGAAAGGATAATATTATGAAAGGATTATCATCATTGACACCACCGATTTACCCACCGCAGTCTGCAGCCTACCAAGGCAATCTTCGTCTGCAGCATCTTGCTGTTCTCTCTTCTATTTTGCATCGTTGCCTTCTTGATAGAGACTATGTTCGTGCTGGAAGGGCCTGGGGCATAATCCTTCGTGAGGAATTTCAAGGAAACCCGATTGATGTGCGCGCTGAAGGGAGATGGGGTATTGGGGCTGAAATATTGCTCCGTCGAGATCGCCAACTATCGGAAATCGCCTCGGGGTCTGTGAGAGCTGTCAAAAATGGCCAAAAAACGGAAATCTCTAAGCTTTATTTTACAAGAAAAGGTTTCGAGGCTGCCAAGCAATACTATGAGAGACTCGTGGTCCAGTATCCATTTCGGAAAACTGCTCCAGACTTCACTAGTTCTTTGCACTTTTACCCGGCCATGTTCGGACTTTGGGTTTATGTTACGCAAGAGGAGAGCAATGCTGCTCGTCAAGATATCCGGAATCGTCAGGAAGTTCCACCAAAAGAAGAGTCGGACGATGCAGCATCTGATCTAGAGAGTTCTGATGGCTCAAGTCAAGAAACGCAGAGCCTTGTCGCAGACATCAGAGCAATTGAGTTGCACGAAGCCCAGAAGATTGCGACAAGAATGGATGAAGTTCTTGTCTCTCCCCCATATTCTGATTCTCCTGACTTACTAGAACTTAGAGGCATGATTTCTCTTTGGATTGGCGACCTTTTCATGTCCTCTTTGGCCCATCGCGTGGAGGATACCGATGGGTTTGATGACAACAACTTGATTCCAGGAGAAGACTTCCAAGACTCGATTCAAGCCAGACGGGAGCAGAGACTTGCGGATGAGAAGAGACAATCTGAGGTTGAAAAGGCTCAAGGTTTCTTTGAAAAAGCGAAGCAGCGTGGCAAAGGGATGACCTCAACACTTGAGGATCTACACATTGACGATAATGCTTCGCTTGATGAATATTGGCGACCTTCGCACGAATAGATAGAAGAACTCCAACGGGAAGTGTATATGGTGAAATTTATACCCCCGAGTGATCACAGTAGAGACCTATGATGCCAATTCGATATCTATCTCTTCAACATGTATTGACGATATGTACAACTACATACTTAAATCCTTGTCCAGCTCCATTTAAAATACCAAGAAACGGCTTGACAGCAATGGAGACTACCCACACCATGCACCGCACGTGACCTCGTGGATGCCTCGCGCGTGCCTTAAAAGCAAAAATTAAGGTAACGCGTCCACCACTGAGCAAGGCCGATATTTATCCATGGCAAACCTGATTGACCCCACTGCAACCACTGGTAGATTATCCGTGTCCTGAGTGGAGAACCCCTAGTATAATGAAATTGGCTTTGATTCCCTGTCCCTTATTGCATGTTTAAATCGGCTATTCATTCCACTTCTCATCTCAGCGACAATGGGTGTCGGAGATTATGTACATTCAAAAGAAGCTGGTCAACACAGACCACCCAAGCTTGATGTCTCCAATCAATCACGGCAGCAGATAGCCGAACAGGCAAGGGTTGAAGTTCCGACACCAAAATTGATTGCGCCGACACCTCTGCCAATCAATAGACCAACTCAGTTTGAGCAGTACGGTGGCCCGCCTGCTCCTGGGGGGCCACATGGACCAAACGAAAATGGTGCGAAGAGGGACATGTTTGACACAGATGTGGAAGGTGTCGATGACTCGACCATTGCAGCGACGAGTGTTGCTGGTGTTGAGGATCTTCCATACCGATTCTCTCCCGCCCCGAATGCTCGACGGCAAGATGCTGCTGCGAACACTCTGCACCAGTTCCAACAAACACGGCGCCCTTTTGACTCTCAATGGTATGACAGTTTGGGGGACAGAGCCTTGAAAACTGCCGGATTCGACTCAGATGAAATCGACAATGAAAGTCAGCTAACATCAGTGGCGGGTGATGATGAGGCCTCCGATGGAACCAACGAATCGGTGGTTCCTATCAGAAAACGCCTCAATGATGAGCCTCTGAGCAAACGTCTGCAGAACTTCTGGAATGCCGGCCGAAAGACGTACTACCAACCGGAAAATCAGGCTCATGTGGAGTCAAAGATCCCAACTTTCACCCGGTCAATACAGGACGCTAAACGGACTAGTCAAGTCCTACCTGCCGCTGCACCTAGGAAAGTTACACTCCCTCCTAATACGAGTGCAACCCCGAGGACAAGATTCAGCCCGCCAAAGCCTACTCTTCTGGAACAATTAGACTTGACCCCTACACGTCGCACCCCTGGTCCTCGGCCCCAACAATCCCAGAGAATTACGAGCATTGAAACTTCAGACTCCGTGGAAAATGTAGGCCTCGGGTTCTTTTCAAACAACTACGGCAGACGTGGTAGCATGCAGTCAATAACTGCTTTTGACGTGACAAATATCGATGCCCTTAATGACGATGATGACCCCATCAATGATCCCTTCTCTAGACGTCTCTCAGTCCAGCGTATTAGTCCGGATCAACACAACCCGAAGAAGCGTCATATCGAACCTGACTATCCGCCAGATATACTCTATCAGAAGTCATTTGCTGAGCTTCAAGCGGAGCCTTTTGACCATATTCCAGCAGCCGCCCCATCATCGAACGCAACCCAGGAAACGCAACCCGATCCAGAAGACAAAATCCCGTACCTCATGAATCTTTCCGATGCCGAACGTCGCACTTATTTCTCCAATCTATCAATGGACGAATGGGAGGATTGCGGTGATCAGTTAATAGATCAATTCACTCAGATGCTCACCAAGATGAAGGACCTGCGTCATGCTCGACGAAAAACGGCCGCTATGTTCGAAGCCGAGATCAAGAGAAGACACGAGAGTGTCGAGGAGCAATCTTTTGATCTTTCTAGAAAGCTAGATGAAATGAGGTCCGGTGGTGCTGAGGTACTACGTGGTCGCACTCCGTGAAACGTATTTTTACCCTCGGCTATATCTTTGCTGTAACGTATTCTGATCCTGGAGATTTGTTGAGTACGACTGCAGCCCTTCATATTCACTGTGCATACTCATGTTCATATTATTATCCCCACATTACCAAGGTGGCCTAAGCATATCGTGGGGGTTTCTTAAATTGGCTTTAATTGATATGGAGGGTGCTATAGCTCAGCTAGGGTACCCGTAGTGTTACTACTATACGAAATGAACATTTAGATCACGCAGGATATATCCAAGCTGCATTCAACGCCAGCTACCTACATCCTTGAGGAACTATTTAACATGATAGGTCCAAAGACAGAACGCCACCAGCAATCTACAATTCGGAATTCGCAACGCTATGATGATGTCAAAAAAGGGAGAAGAGCAAATTACTACAACAAAGAAGGTACGAAAACATGGTTAGATCAGAGATTCGGTCTTCATTTCGGATTTGAGCCCTGCTTTAACAAGACTGCGGCGATCCTTTTATAATCTTCAAGGAGGGTGGTTACATCCCCAATTGTTAGATCGCTGGCGTGCGCTGTCTGAAGGAAACGCTGAATCGGAGGATCGATTTTGGACGAAGTAGCAGACATGCTTGAGGACATCTCTTTTGAGATTGGAGGGCTCTTTGTAGAAGGAGAGGGGGTGGAAAGGACCCCCGTGCCGTCTGGAGTAGCACGACCGAAGCTCCTGATCATGCCAGGGATATGGTTAAGGGGGTTGAGTGTATTCCCAAAGTTCCGCATCGATTCCAGAGGTGTAGGGGCCAGAGAAGATGAGCTCGCTGGGGAGCTCTGGGGCATACCGGATGAGGGTTCATCTCTCAAGGAGATCGAAGCAGCGTTAGTCTTCTTGGAACTCCCTTGCGTTCTGACGCTGTCCGCACTTCGGTCGCGCGGTGTCCTCTGCCCACCAACTAGTCCTAAGAAAGTATCTTCTGCCTTTGAGCCGATATGCCTGAGGTGAGGCCGATCGTTGGGGGCCTCCATCGTTGCCTTAAAATCTTGGCCGGGGAAGTTATTATCTGCGGAAGATGGGGACGTAACCAGGCGTCTGGCTTCTGCCAGTGTTTTCGGTACCATCGGATTACCTCCATCCTTGCCAGCATGTTGGCTAGACTGCAATTCTTTGAGACGGCCGAAAAGAAAACTGAAACTGCTGTCCAATGTTGCACCTATATTTTTTAGGCTCTGGTCTGCAGTATTACGCACAGCATCATTTGCTGCACCGAAGACCTTTGATGGGGGTTGAAAGAGGTTATTCAAACGTTGCTGCGTTGTTGCGGACTGTTGAGGCCTGGGCAAAGTATTGGAAGCAGATTCCTTGCCAGTAGACTTCGAGAATTCCGCAGAAGTCGTCACTGTCGTAAGAGATGAAGCTGGCTCATCTTTTGTAGGTTGCCGAGGGTCGCCCTTTTCTATGGCTGGTGTAGTCTCGCTGCTAGGAACTTTCGTTTGACCCTCCGGTACTTGGTCAGCGCGGAGCTCAGAAAGCTCAACGTTTTCTAAGAAGCTTATTGCTGCTTCAAGGTTCGTCAAACAATAAGCAGTTTCGCCATCAATTTTATTTGACGACCGGAATCTCTGGATGAACTGTAAGTTACTTATGACATTAATGCCCTCCGGGGGGGACGTGATAAGTGAGTAGATCAAGGTAGGTAGAATCTCATCAGCGGAAGATGAAGAAGGTAGTAGTTTGGTTAAGGCATCAACTATCGCTTTGTGGGCGGCGGCAAGATGCCGAAGCTTCCCTAATGGGTATTTTGCTTCGTTCATTTTATTGAGATAGTCTCTGGCGACAGACAAGCCCTCATCAGCTTCCTTCTGCTTTTCTTCATCGATAGAAGCTGTGTCGACATCGACCCCAAGGTCATTCAGGTTTATTCCAACTAGGAGTAATGTGGCTGTTTTAGAACGTAACTTCTCGTCTCTGACTTCATCCAGCGTACTTTTATGCCGCCATATTTTGTCGTAGATACTCTCACAAGCTCTTCGTTCCACTGCTTCTTCCAAAGCGACACGCTTAGAAGCAAGCATTCTCCGGGCAATCCGCTTTTCTGTGACTTCTGATGCTGTTAGCATCTGCCTGCTGTTTTCGATCCGTTTACTCTTTGACTTCGGCTGAGGATGTGGTGAAGGATCACGGTTTATTCTGGAAGCGAGGGCCGATATGTGTGTGGCTATATGTGATTCTGCTCGGACGTAAAAATCTTGGTAAAGAAGGGAAATTTTCTCAATCGTTGGTGGTGAGTTGTGCACTTTGGCACTTAAGGAATTGACAAATCTAACAAGTAACATTGTTAGCAATTGATAACACCACCAAAAAACTGAGCGTTCACCCTACCGGTCAGTTAGACTGATCAACTCTATCGGTAACTCCTCTGATTGTTCCTCCGCATTCCGCGATAGCACTGAAGCCTCCTCGCCTTGTCCATCATCATCGATGCCTAGCTCTGAGGTACCTGCTTTTTCAAACAGGTCAGGGCCCGTTCCATGGTCCTCTTCGGCTGGCGACAATGGTAATGGATGCGCATCAGACTCGACATGCTCCGGTGTTGCCACTGACTGAAAGGTCTTAGACCTCGAGCGAATGAAAGGGCTCGCCTCTGAGGTATCCATCCTTGGAAACGAGCGAGCCGTATGTAATCGAGGCTTTCCAGAGCCATTTTCAGTAGGGTCAAAAGACATGATGATTATGATAGATAAGTATACTGGGCCCGAATCCAGTCGAAATATGCTGTTATATCTTGCGATATGGTCCTTAGGCAGTTTAGTCGGCCGGTTCTTGCAGATTGCGCGCAATTATGGCGCCACTGTTTATCGATAGATAACACATAAACCGCACGAGACAAGTACCGGAAAAGAAACAAGGCAACTCTGGTGGGAATAGTTTTACTCGTATAGACCAAACATACTGTTAGTAAAGCCCGGAGACACCCAAGGCGTTTGGGGGAGAAAGTGACAATGAAGAGAGCAGATGCGGAGTACAGATAGAGGAGTATCAATTCAGGCTGCGACAAGCCATGATTGACAACCGTCACGCGTTCGCGGACCAATCACGTGGGACCCTTCGCTATGAAAAAGTAGACAGCCTAACTAACTAGTTAACCAGACCCAGTCAGATAATCGAATCACTTGGCCGTGAGTTTTGGGCTGTATTGCCACATTAGCACTAGCGTGGAATATATATCTGGTTTTTAGGAAGTGGACCTGCCTCTCTCCGCACTGCGTCACGCCGCCGCCTCACCGCCCAGGCAATCAGTCATTCGCTGATAAGGTCGACTGTTCTCCAGTCATCCCCAACATCTGTGATCATCTCTGTATTACTATGGAATTTCTCCGAAATTGAAGTTATAGGCAACTCTCAGCAAATATGATTGTTTTAAATGCCCTTCTGGGTGTGGCCCTCCTCCCCAGTACGACTTTCGGCTCAGGGTCCGTATACTTCGGATCCCGAGGATCATCTCCCTTGATCCCTCCACAAGTCCCCTTGGCTGAGCCTCCTGCACTTTCAGGCACACATGAGTTTGTAGGTGCTTTATGCTACTCAGCCTACATACTTTTGTCGAATTTGCAGTAGACTGATGCTAACACAGACACTTCGCCACATCTTCCGTCGCGGAGCATATGAACAACCAGATCTCCACCAGAGACTCGACATCAAGCCGCATACCCGTCTTCGGGCCGTTTCAGAAGATGGCCTCGAGGAGGGACCCGCCATCTTGGACTCCCCATTAGTGGCTTCATCGCGTCCTATTAGCATCGAACGGCTTGCAGATCGACGTCCTTCCAACATCGAGGCACATTTGATGGCAGCTAGGTCGTCTGGGTCAGCGGTCGTACTCTCTCCGTCGGAATGGGTCATGGATACGCTAGCTGGCCCCGATGTTATGCATAAAGAAAGTGTTCTCACGTTTGCCCAGATGACAGCGAATGATTATATTGAGGAGCCAGGGAGTGAGGATTGGCAGGATGTTCATGGTCACTTCAATTACTCATCGAGCTTCGGCTGGAGAGGCGACGGACTGAGAGGTCATATCTATGCTGACAAGGCAAACGGCACTATTGTTATATCTCTCAAGGGAACTTCACCGGCTCTCTTCGATGGTGCAGGTACGACTACCAATGATAAAGAGAATGATAACCTGTTCTTTAGCTGCTGCTGCGGGCAAGGTGGCTCGTACCTCTGGCGACAAGTATGTGATTGCCAGACATCTGCATACAAGGCCAACTTGACTTGCATAACTGAGGCCATGAATGATGAAAACCGGTACTACCGTGCGGCATTGGACCTCTACTCAAACGTCACTGAGCTTTATCCAGAGGCAAATGTTTGGCTGACCGGCCATTCCCTGGGTGGCGCAATGTCCAGCTTGCTTGGTTTGACATATGGACTTCCTGTTGTCACATTTGAAGCTGTCCCCGAGGCACTTCCTGCAGCTCGCCTAGGTCTCCCCAGCCCGCCAGGATATGATCCCAGACATCCTCAGTCCAGACGGCACACCGGAGCCTACCACTTCGGGCATACTGCCGATCCCGTTTACATGGGAACCTGTAATGGTGTCAGCTCTGTATGCACATGGGGAGGCTACGCCATGGAGTCAGCATGTCATACGGGTCAAATGTGTGTCTACGATACCGTTGAAGACAAAGGCTGGCGCGTCGGAATTGGGACGCATCGTATAAAAGCTGTGATCTCCGATGTTATCAGGGTATATGACAAGGTCCCGGACTGTGCCGCGGAAGAAGAGTGCTACGATTGCGTGTTGTGGAAATTCTTCCGCAGCAATGGCTCTGAAATCACCACTACTAGCTCAACAACGTCTACGACGAGCTCTACCCCGATAAGTACCTCGACCTGTAAGACCCCCGGATGGTGGGGCTGTCTTGATGAGAGTACAACTACAACAGCTACAACGACATCGACGTCGACATCCACATCAACGTGTAAGACACCCGGTTGGTTCGGTTGTAACGACCCGACCACTA